ATGAGCTTATTTTGAAACGCGATACAAGGTAATTTTTGGAAAAGAAGGTTATTACGTAAAAGAGACGATTATTTGGTATATACTAGGAAATGGAAACCATTGTGATTCCGGAGCAAAAAAAAAATCAAGTATTTATTCTCGTCGTGCGACTTATTTGTGGCGGGAAACTCGTGACGATCGATTTACATATTATCCTCAGACCACATACAATGATTTTATTTGTTTATGGTTTACACTTCGATAATAAACTACTTTCTTTCTTCCTCTTTCTTTTATATTCTTTAAAGTTTAGTTGATATAGTTTTTTATAAACGCGTTTTTTATACAGAATTTTCATGTAACACTTGGTTTTTTTTTATCTTTATAGCATAATTAACATATCGAAAGTAAACGCGTTCTTAAAGACTAAGCGAAATTATTCTGCAATACAAATATCAATTTTTATCAAGTTAGCTTAAATATTCATGAAGTTATAATTATTTTTATTATATTTTCGTGCAGACATATTGTAGCGTAATTTAGAACTTTGGTCAAACAAAACTAACTTTTGTCGAATAAGTAAAGTTGTTTAACAGATATGGAAATAATTAGATAATAAATTACATCATGCTTGAGTGAGTATTTTCTTTTTGTTATACATGTAATTAAAGAACTTTGCTTTTATTTTTTTTTTTCGCGAATAAAAAAATTTTCAACGTTACACAAAACTTGTGGCCTTCACAAAGTTTATCTTATATTTGATAATACTAGTATATATAAGAAAAGACACACTTTTTGCGAAGCTACTTCTTGTACAACTTAAATTATTATTTTATTAAGTGCCGTAAAAATTATAACCATCATAAATTATTGAATCAATTGCAACGTCGTTTTATTCCCATAGAGTTACGCTATTGGCTAAAATTTATCATATTCGTTCAAGTACCTTCATAAGAACTTCTGGGTTTAAATCCCAGACTTTTGAACAAGACGGCGTCTCATGAAATTTGAATTAACCGTAATTGTCAAAAAATTATTTGATATCTCTGAATTGTATCGTACTACAGTCGATTCAAGCGTGTTAATAAAAAACAATATGGGATTTCATAAGTCTAATAAATCAAGAAATGAAATAATATTGCTTAAAATATAACTAAAATCTCATTAATTCACCTAAATAAGATGAAACGTAACGTATTTTTGGTGCCCACTGAATTCGATATAGAATTGATGTGGAAAGATTTTCTAGAAAAATCAGGTACTGAAAAAATTTTTAACTAAAATTAAGTATTTTAATCTCAATTTGGTTAAAAAGTTCCCTGAACCTGATTTTCCTAGCTATCAACCATGTATTGATAATTCATACCCAATTTTTTCGTTTTAATTTTTTTTTACTTTGATGAAAATGCCACATCTTTATGAACCTTTGATTAATATTATTACTATTTACGGTTTATTTTCTTCTGTAGTATAATATTTCTGATTAATTTTTTTCCGTTTGATATTCAAAATATTACGAGAGTTAATCAATCATTTTTGAATAACGAAAATCACAACCGCCCTGGTTCATACTGAATTTAAAATGATCATCCATAATTTTAGAATCAATTTTTGTGAAAAGATTAAAAGAATTGTTAGAATTGTTGATTTGGAATAAACCATTTTTTTTTTCTTTATAAAAAGGCTTTGATTTCAATTTACTCTTAATTTAAGTAATTAAACACTTTCATAAAGAATACTTACAAATATAATACTTTTGCAAAGAAATAACAATCAATATAATACTTTTTCAAAGAAATAACAATCATGTACAGCAATTTTATTTTGGTATTCATTTTATTGGCTACGCTTTCAATGGTCAATGCAATTCCGCATCAACTTCTTCAAAAGAGAGCTCCTACCTTTGGGATATGCCCCTCTGATAACGGGTCCACAGCACCAGCCACAATCTCCGTAGTAATTAATCCTGATCCTGTCGTTCCCGGAAAACCCAATACTTTTACTGTTACCGGAACTGTAGAATCAGATATAACAGATCAAACTCAACTTGTTGCTTTTTATGGTGATACTAAAACTAAGGAAGTCATAGGCGATGTCTATTATATACCAATTTGTACTGGAAATGCTTGTCCAATTAAAGCTAAAACTCAATTTACTGTAAAGGCGACTCCTGATACACCAGAATCATTACCTAATCCATATTCCATCGTAGTTGGTGTTGTAGACCAACCTGACACGGTCCTAGCCTGTACAGCTGCCAATATCGGTAATGTGGGCCCTAATGATGTAGCTGGAAAGTTTTTTTCCCTATCAATAGTTGAAAAAAAATAGAGTAATTTAATTTGTTACTGATAGAATTTATTTATTTATTTACCTTACTAAATTCATTTGATATAATTCACCAACACTTAGTTAATCTGAAATAGACGACTTTAATTATAAATATTCTAAGACGCTTTAATACACGATTCATAATAATAAAGTTGCAAGTTAATTAATTAAAAAACGTTCAAAAATAAAATTTCCATAAAATTTATTAAGTGTCGTTGAGCTAATTTTTTTTTTTTTTTTTGACCGATCGGCAATTACTTTTAGAAATTTGTGCTACATTACTAATTCTCATTCTTGAAAATTACGATATTTACCAAATATGGACTGGTTTTCGGATTCCTCTTTGGGTTCGATCGCTGTGTAATTATGTTCGTAAAACCATTACCCACGATATTTCAATTTAAATAATAAAAGTGCGGGTACAATCTTTTAGATATTAATGTATTAAAAGAACAATTAATAATTGAAAATGATAAAAAGATTTTTGAAATTAACGACAATTAAAACCAATGAATAACAACAATCAACGTGAGAAACTCTCAAATTCTAAAAATATTTAAATATTTATTTTCAAGCAGGCCACGAGCCGTATAATTGATTAATGAATGTTGTTTTATCCCAGATCAATCTAGGATAAATATAAATATATAATATCCAGGACTTTGAAAAAGAACTATTCCTTGTAGAGATTACTCCCATACCATAAGGCATAATATTCAATATAACTAATCGTAAATCCACAACATGGACCGATTTGTTTATTAAATAATGAACAAATTAAACTTAACATGTGATAGAGTAACATAATCTCTTTGTGCTATTTGCCTTAAAATAATTTAACTTCTTGCAACATATTAACTATACAATAATTCCTTCGTTAGTGGTGGTAATCAAGGAAGGTTTATATCACTTATTGTTGTTGCTGTTGTCATTATTTAATATAAAATTTATTTGATGAATGTGTTATTTACAAAATGCGATAAATTCATACTTTTGATAACATTAATCTTACATAAATTTCAGTAACATGATTGTTTGCAATACTATAAGCTATACCTTTATCTTCATGTTTTCTATTATTAGCCAACCTTCAGGCTTTACGATTTTCTTCACGTATATAGTTGAGGCAGCACTTAAGTCGCAGCAGATTTTGCGACTAACACAGGTTACACTAATAGCCGGATATTGCGGTACCTTTTTTTACCTATAATAGGGAAAGGGCACCGTTGTTAAGTCCGAAACGATCTTAACTAAAAAAAAATATTGTAAAAAACAATCAGCATCGACTCAATCATTGAGCGGGCGGACATCCGGACATTTGTAGAAGTATATAGTCCTTCGCTGCGCTGCGGATTACAAGCTGACCTTTTAAGGTAACCAACGGCGTCAGCGACATTAATAAATTTTAGTCAAATTTTTTTTTGAACGTTCTTCGTCAATATACTATCAACATTCTTAATATAAATAATTTGTTAAGAGTTATTATAAATATATAATAATATATTGAAAAACGTCAAATAGTAATAAATTTTATAAATAACAAAAAATTAAAACCGAACAAAGAAGTACAGTAAACGCAGCATCATTAGGTGTGCGTAGAAGTAACAAAGGCACGTGGTCAACCTAGATTTGCATTGATGGTTCTGAAACAATGACTAGCATAAACGCGTGGATCAGTTAAGGTTTTGGTGTCAGAATCTTCGCTGTTGAATTAAATGGTTTATTAGGTTTAATTGGGCACAGAAACCGAAATTTATTTGTATGCAGTTTATTAGCTACGCTTTCCTTGCTTGATCAATTGGTCAATACAATTCCATCGTTTCATTTTGATCCATGTCTCCCTCTTAAAGTGTCAACTACATCACCACCTCAAATCGCTGCAACAGTTCCTGTCGACTTTGTAAAAAAATTAAACTTATGATGTTTGGAATAAATATCTCTGGTTTGTTCTGTAAAAGATGATTATTTTCTTTGCAAGGTTTCTAATTAGGAGTGTTCTTTTGCGAATGTAATTATTAATTTCTTTGAATTCTAAGTAAATTGTCATCAGTGCTTAATACTTCAAAAAATTGATTCTAAAATTATTTTGGATTGTGTTACCCAATCACAAGTTATATTTAATTTGCACAAACGAATCAAATTATGTTGAATATTATAATACCTTATGGAGTAATCTTATAAGGGATGATTCTTCTCAAAAAGCCTCTTTTTATCTGGATTCCACACTGGAAGATCAATTTAATCCGGATTTATACTTTACGATGATGATATCATGATCAATATTATTTTAGAATTTGTGAGTTCCTTACGTTGATTAATATTCATTGAATTCATGGTCATCAATTTCAAAGTTCTTTTTTATTATTTTAATAACTTTTCTTTTAATACAATAATAATATTTTAAACTTCGAATGAGGATAAGGTTGGTGTAACCTAATATGAGATTTGCCGATCAAATTACCGATCGTTCAAATAAAAAACTTGGCGCGAAATGTGGTCATCGACACTTTTTATTGAATTTTTTTTTTTTTGAACATTGACGCTTTAATAGAGTTATTCTAAAGTGTTAATGAATTACATCAATTGAATATAGTAAGGTAAATAAATAACAATAACAAATTTAAACACTCTTTTTTGCTTTAAATCAATAATGAAATTATAAAAAAATAAAATAAAAATAAAATTATAAATTATTGAAAAAGAAGGTCAAGTACACCATCAAGTCCATTATTTCCATCAAGTTCTTCAGCAGCATTTTTATTAGTTGAGAGAGCTGCACAGCCTAGAACATTTTGATCATTTGAAACAGCAACTATGATAGCATATGGATCTGGTAAGCTTGGTGTCTTAGTATCATCAGATACTTTAAACTCAGTTTTAGATTTAATTGGGCAATTATCAGTACACATCGGTTTAGTACTGACATCGCCAATGATTGTTTTATTGTTAGGATCTGCATAATAAACGTTAAGTATGGCTGATGCCGGAATATCTACATCTAAAGTTCCGGAAACATCAAAATGTTCTGGTTTTCCGTCTTGGACTGGATCAGGATTCAATTTTACGGAAATTAGGGGTGGTTTTACCCCTTGATAAACGGGGCATTCCCCAAAGTTAGAACCTCTCTTTCGAAGTTGATGCGGAATTGCATTGACCATGGAAAGCGTCGCCAATAAAATGAATACCAAAATAAAATTGCTGTACATGATTGTTATTTCTTTGAAAAAGTATTATATTGATTGTTATTTCTTTGCAAAAAGTATATTGTAAGTATTCTTTATGAAAGTGTTTAATTACTTAAGAGTAAATTGAAATCAAAACCTTTTTATAAAGAAAAAAAAATGGTTTATTCCAAATCAACAATTCTTTTAATCCTTTCACAAAAATTGATTCTAAAAATTTATAAATTCCTATTTTGGATTACATTTAGAAATTTAGTATGATTCGGAAATTTTAGTATGAACCATTTGTGGTGATATTCAAAATGATTTTCTTATATTCGACCTTCATAAAAATGTGCAAATTTGCGGATCTATTAACACAAAGTTTATTTTTTGGGAATTACCGATAAAATAAAACTGTTTTCTGTTGCATTTAGAGGTTGGATCGTTCTAATAAAATCGATAAAAAATGACATTGACAAAGAGAATAATCATTCAAGAATTTTTCAAAATAAAGAAAAATTCTTTATCGATCTTCAAAAAAATATTGATTTGAAGATTAAAATATCTAATACCCCTGAGTTAGATATCATAATAGTAAGATGGTGTAAATTAATGTTTCGGGCGAAACTGTTTTGTGAATGGCGAAACGTTTCGCCTTTTTAGAGCTTTAGTTTGGGCAAATCCGAAATTTCCGAAACCTGACAAAACCTCCGATACCTCCGATACTTCCGATACCTAGCGAAACCTCCGAAACTACAATATCACATGATACTTTAATTATTCAATCAAAATAATAATAATTTATAATTTAATTTTTATAATTTTT